ATAGCATATTATATTTTACAATTTATATTTCAATAACAATAAAAACAATTTTTATTGAAATATATTGTCAAGAATAATATCAGCATTCGTTAAGCTTATAAAAGAAACATTTTTTTATTTAATAAACTAGCGACTCATCCTGAGTCCCTAGGTACGTTTTAACGGTTAGTATAGATTTCTCAGAGATGAGATGTTTTCCTGCAGTAAGAAGTATCCTATATAACTGGTAACCCGGATAACCAACTATCATCATATCAAATTTCATCAAAATCTATCCAGTGGTTTTCACTTATTGCGTTCCCAGACAGACAGACAGACAGACATCTATAAAATATAGATTCGACCTCTGTATCGACAATAATGACTAAATCAATAACACTTTCCAAAAAATATTTAATGTACAGATTCGACTCAGAATTTTATTATATGTATGTGCGGATATCTGACATAATATGTTCATAGCTAGATGTCTAACAGTAGATAATTTCTTACTCCACGTACAAAACAGAAGCCAATGTGGTCATATATAGCCTATGTATAGTTCCGTCTTTACCATAAAGGCAGCCTCAAGAGACCTGATGAGGGCCGCGAAAAGATCACATATTCGTTTATATGGAAAAGAGAAGCTCAATTTTTAGTCTATTATACACTGCACTGCATATAATATACTGCACAATATTATGTTCGTTCTTCAACTGGTTCCCATCTTTTTACCCAACTGCGACGAAGCCCAAATGAGGGTCATGTGTTTAACCTTTATGTATGTTTATATGTATATCCGATCCTATGTTCCCTCACAATTACTAAGCGAATTTTAATGATTCATACGTCGTTCGATTCGTCTTAATGACGCTAGTGTCTAGGGTAGCGAATCTGAAGTGCTAATTTGTCTTGAATTATTTTTTCGTCCGAATCAATCGAGTGGGGTATTACAATACATGTTTTTAAGAGCTAATTACAAAAATATATACAACATATATGTTTAAAAGTAATTTAGGATTAGAAATTGTTAATTAAAACTAAAAATGTTTAACTGACCAAAACTAAAAAGCTTTGAATAAAAAAATAATTTACAAAAATTAAAAAAGACCCGACTGCGTAAAAAGAGACCTAAAATGTCGTGTTTTTTATTTTTGTAAATTATTATTAGTTCTTTACGCCATCAAGTTGTTTTTTATTTTTGTATTTTTTTTTTACTCAGATTTTTTACTTCCTATAGGGCCCTAAATTGTTGTGTGATAATGATGCTTTATCCAAAGCCGGCCGTTTTGACCGTAAAGGATTAACAAACAACCACACATACAAATATTAGAAACTATAAGAATAGTCCCATAGTGAATCCATGCAAAAATTATGACTGCCGCAGCGTTAAAATGTCAGGCATTCGCTAAAAGCCTTCATAAATATCGGGCGAGTCGCGACCCAGTTGACTTCAGCCGACACTAGACTGCCAACATTCTAATGCTTTACTAAAATCTAGATTCTATATTTGGTAACCGAAGTGGAACTAAACACATGGATATAATTATTGTATTGATTAAGCTTATCTTTTAATAATTAGATGATAACTGGAGAATAATGACACTACGGGACTTATGGCCAATTTCACCAACGTCACCTAAGTTTAAGGGATCCCCTAAGCATGCTTAGGGGGCTGTTAGGGGACAGTTTCTTCTTCACCGACAGTTAGGGGTCATCTAAAAATTAAAAATAATAATAAAATGCCACCTTAATAGGTACTAGAAATACGGGCTCTGACGATGGTAAACTCAATTTAATTTAGGGGCTAATTTAGGGGAACTTTTAAGCTATGGATCCCATACGTAGGTGGTAGCTTTAGTGATGTTGGTGAAATCGGACTAAAATAAAAAGGGCGTAGATAAAGAGCTTGTTCCAGACGTTTCGATTGCACCAGCCGTGATCACGGGCAGACTGATGTAACCCAGTCGAAACGTCGGGAATAAGATATCTTACCACTTACAAATTCACCCATTATTACACAATTTTCATTATTATACAATTACGGAACGCGAAAACTTAGAAAGTTATATATTACTAGCGACTCACCCTCGCTTCGCTCGGGTTCGTCTCTAGCTTGCTTCCCCATACAAACTTTCATCCCCATTTTCTCCCCCTTAATAGATAATGTCCGGGATAAAAACTATCCTATGTCCTTCCCGGTGTTTCAAACTATCTTCTTACCCAATTTCATCTAAATCGGGGCAGTAGTTTCGAAGCTTATTCGATACAAACAAACAAAAATCTTTCCTCTTTATAATATTAGTATCTTTAGTCTGTAATTTACATGGTATACGTAAAAATACTAGCGACTTACCCACGCTTCGCTCATCCCTTAGGGTGCTTAACAGTAGCTTACGTATTCACATGTCTGTCTGTGTATTATTTATTTATGGAAATCCGTTTAGCCGTTAAAACGTGAAAGGGGTAACAAATATACAAACATACAAATTTTCGTACTTAAATAGTAGTACGTTGAAACACGCTTTACTTAGTTCTAGGTATTATTAAATTTTCACATTTATTGAATTTTCCCGGACTCGTTTTCCCCACATCTGTTACTTCCGAGAATATCCGTTTATTTCAAGGAAACTAAAGGATAAAAGGTAGCCTGTACTCTAGACCATAGACTAGATTAAAACATCCACTTAAAGTTAAGTACTAGCCTAATTAACTTCATATAGCTTACTAGATACCTATACTTACTTTGCTCGGATACATTTATGTGTGTATTTTGTATTTAGTTATATGTTTATGCAGCGCCACCTCTTGATAAATTTAATTACTAACAGTAGCCTATGTATTATTTAAAGTCACAGTCGAATTGTTTACTTTTCGACATGTTTGGTTCAGTGTATAGTGACCCTAATTGCTGTGCCAGCGTTTGCCGGTTCGAGCCCCGTTGGGGACATTCATTTGCGTGATGAGCACGAACGTTTGTACTCCAGTCAAAGATGTTTTAATTTAAAACATGGAAGTAGATAGTGCTGTCCCAATATAAAAAAAAACTTTACATCCAAATTCATCTAGCCGCTGTATCGGGAAAGAGTAATGAACATACTTACATGCATATAGATACATACAAACTTTCGCATTGATAAAAATAGATTTCATTAACTGATGTTTATGACATGTTGCTCAGTGACTCATATAAACTGTTAATTTAACTTCTTCTACATCCAAATCCTTCACAAAAAATATTATACATATATAGATAGGTATCTTTCAATCTAAATAATTTAAAACATCAATTTTCAAAGTTAGTATCTTAATATATTATTCATATTTCTTGGAAGGTATGCTGTATAGATTTTAATAAATAAAGTGCTTTCGTAACGCGATGCGAAATATATGCAAAGAATCTTATAGCGGAAGTTAAAAGAAAGGTTTAAATAATAATCCACATGTACATATATTTGTATACAGGCCTTTTTAACGTCCCACTGCTGAACACGAGGGGGATCAGGCCATAGTCCACCACGCTGGCCAAGTGCGGGCGGAATGCACATGACTTTCGAAAACTTGTAAAGTTCTCTCAGACATGCAGATTTCCTCACGATTTTTTCTTTCACCGTAAGACAAGTGGTAATTATGTTGGGATGATTTGTACATGGAAATAGCAGAGAGCGAGACCCGAGATTTGAACCCGCTTCTCTAGGTTTCCCAAGCGAACGCGTTACCACTGGGTTACCCTTGCCTTATGTACATATATTTATAAAGTAAAAACTTTTTAATTTTTTTATATAGAGATAGAGATGTAACAAATGCGCATAATTTTAATATGTATTATGTATTTACATTCAATGCTCGGGGCATGAATACTGCCTGCAGAAAGGTGTGGAAAGTTTCATTACGACATGAAATTAATTAAATGCTTTTAAGTTGTAATTTAAAACTTTAAACATCGTACAGTTTCAACTAACTGTTTATAATATACATATATAACTGTACTTAGGTTATAAAGTAAAAAAATATACCTAATAAATGATAGATTTCTTGTCTTTTAAATAAAACTATCTTTTCGGATTATTTGGAGGATTTATTTTGATTTTTTTCCCGACGTTTCGAATGCTTTACAGCAATCATGATTTTATTTAATACTAGCATTGCCCGCGGCTCCGCCCGCGTTCAGGTGACCAAAAACCAAATTCTTAGGTTTTACATATTAGTGTACTCTTACAAAGCAGTTTTTGTATTTTTTCTCAGAAATTAGATTTTTTCCCACGGTAAAAAATATCCAGATAAAGATACCCAGCTATCACCATACCAAATTTAATCAAAATCCCTCCAGTGGTTTTTCTGTGATGCGGTAACAGACAGACAGACAGACAGACAGACAAAAATTCTAAAAACTGTATCGAAAATAATGTTTGTTTCAATAAGTTTTTCCAAAAAATATTTAATGTACAGATTCGACTTAGTTAGAATTTTATTGTATGTCAAATATTCGCGTAAATCTAAGAAAGTATTATGATTTCTTGTCTATTTGATTGTTTGAACACAAATTTAAAATACAAGTATGATTTGCTGAAAAAGGTTTGTCTTTCTCTACGCTACGGCTCTTAAGAATAGAGCTTATAAAATATACATACATAAATAAGCAACGCGAGGGGCCGCGCACAAAAGGTAATAACATATTAAAAATATATTTTATTATATTGCCTCGAATTATAAAAACTGTGTTATTCTATTATAATATAATGAAATAAATTAATTTGCGTGGTAGATAGTAGGTATACAAAACGTAGCACTTGTGTTACTTTCTTCTAAATTTTACTTATTCTTCTATATATTACTATTCATAGGGCCTTTATAGCGTCAAGAAGTAAAAAGTACTCACTAACTCTAAAACTTACTAACTCAGACTAACTTAGAATCTTTCTAACTTGGAAACTTACTAACTCAGAAACTCACAAACTTTCTCTTTCACAATATTATTACTGTGATTCAAACTTGAGTGTGTTTTTCGTTTTGTTTCAGATATGCTACAGTCTTTATTACAGCCAAGGGATAATCAAAGACGTAAGTTATTTATTACAGAAGTATGTACAAACTTGTTAATATGATATTATTATAATTTTCATGACTTTTTTTCTGGTAATCTATTATAAGTTAAAATAAATACTTTATGGCAGACTTCAAGAAGGAAGTACTCGATTCGGCTTAGTTTTTTCTTTGTATATTACAAAAACTCGTCAATTTTTATAATCCTTTAAAGTTTTTTTTATAAAAATTAATCACGTTTTTGAAAATCCAAAAGTTTTTAGTATTTAATAATTTTTGATTAATAAATACATTTCTAACAAAAAATACAGCCGAATTGATAACCTCCTTAATTGAAGATGGTCATAAAGTCAATAAATAAAGAGTAAGTAAGTAAAAAAGTTCCATAGCCGACCTCGTAGAGACTTTCTACGAATAAAATGACGTATTTACACGACGACGTTACGTGTAGAGTGATGTATCCAATTAGAACTATCTCTTACTTTACTGAGACAAATGTCTGCACGATCTACGCATTATTCCATGCGGGAATGACTCGCATCAGACATGCCTTAAAAAATAAAAATTTAAAGTTAAAAGTTTCAGAAGCACAATCAACAGAATTGTTCAGATAAGAAAAAAAATCTAATAAAAAATACTGTGCACGAACTTTGGTCATTGCTGCCAAAGACATCTAACCTAGATAGTTAGGCGGCAAAAATGTAGTGCATAAACATGCATTTCCTATTTCTCTAATCTTGTAGTCCGATAGGTTGACAAGCAGACAAGATGAAGGAGCGAGAGAGAGAGATCAGGTACAGGACCGAAGGCTTTACGTGCTCTCCGAAGCATAAGGATGTATAAGCATCAACTTGCCAACTCGATGATACTCGAACCTACTAATCGTAAAATGACACCGTAAAGGCACTAACCGTAAACTGTAAAAGGAAACACCATCAAGTTCAACCCATGGCTCTTAAAAGTCCTTTCTTCTTTTATTAATCTCGCATACAACACGCTAACCACAAATAGGTGGACTCTTTAAGTCCTATCATATATTTTTGTTTAAATTTTTATTTACAACATTTTTGATTCTATCTCAAAAAAAAAATAACAACATAAAAATAGCTCAAAAAAGGCACGAACGTATGTCTGTAGGTGTTAGACTTACTCATAAAAAACCTTAAAAAGATAGGAAAACTATCATCAATCTAACATAATCATTCATTTTCATATAGTTAGCGTAATCATTTATAATATAACCAATCTTTAATTATATATCGGTAGAAAACATTATCATTTAATACAATAGGCCTATAATCAAGGCAACCTGTGTAGTGTCTTAATTGAGACATTGTACACGAGCTATTTAGAGACCATTTACGAGCCAACTTTACCAGGTAATTGGGGTTTGACCAACAAATTATTTGGAAATATTGTAGGGCGATAACGATATTAGGTAACTAACGCTTTGTTTAACAAACATACATTCTTCTTTCTTTACACGTAGCTTATCGTATCGAGTTCGATTCTATTTATTATTTTATTAGAATATTTTTTTTTAATTTATACACAAAAATCTAGCAACAATGCTACAATATTGAAAACTCAAACAAAAGTACGTAAGTGACCACGAAGGTATAAAAACGTAAATTCGTAGAATAATTTCTATATGGCCGCTATTTCTCAGCGAAAATGATTGGTGCGATGCCTGCAGTCGCCGTACGACATGAGCGGCGACGAGCAGAGAAGCGGACGGCAGGGAGGCGGCCGTCGCAACTACCCCTGCAGCTTGGCCGGCTTGAGGACGCCACCCCATCCCCTGACCATCGGCTGAGAAATGAGCTTTATGTTTGCGGAAAGGTATTACTTTCTTCTTTTTACTTCTCATGCTAGAGTTAAGAAATCGTCAAACGCATCCTTAAGTACTTACGAAATGTATATTTTATAGCTATCACATAATAGTAGCTTTACACACACAGGGATAAAGCTTCAAACAACCGCGCAACGATAGATACAATATCACATAAGGAGATGGAGAATTCCTGACAGCTCACCGACGGGTTCTCGTGCCCGTTGACAAAACCGGTTTTCTCCTGCTCGAATTGTTACCAGTCTCAGGCCAAGCCATGCTCAAAAGAAAATGCCTAGCGTATCTATTGTTGCATAGTTGTATGAAGCTGTCTCTATAGAGATATTTTCTCATGCAGTCGCTATACTAAATATGATAAAGTATTTGTATTTATTATTATAATACATATTTACTCGTGTAACATCTTTATGTAATGCCTTATTTAAAATCTTTTACATAATTCTTTATGCCATGTAAAAGTTTACATTAAAAAATAGATTTTGAATTCTTCCTTTTTCAAATATTTATATTTAAATAACTAAATCAAGGTATATTTTTTATATTTATTATTTACTTCAATTAGCATTAATATCAAGTAATATCAGTATATAACTTATATCCGAAATTAACTTAGCAATAGCTAAAAAATTGGATTCCATTAAGTTTTTGTTCAAAGCATGGTTGATTTATAAGTTAGAAGTAGATTCTACAAAAACTTTTTCCTTTATAACTTCAGTTAGTAAAATTCTTAGAATAACTAATTTTCTAAGTGATAATAAACTTAAGCACAGCACTTTCACTAAAACTTTTTTAATATTGTATTTTTATAACAATCAGATTAGTACTCTTTTGACTGTTTTTTCTATTATTATATTCCAATTTTTAATCTCTAATAATTTTCTCATATCTACAAGTAAGTACCTTTTATTCTTCTTAATATTGTAAATGCAAATATGTAGTCTTTCTTTTACGTTTTTACAATACAACTTGTTATGTTACGATTATTTTTTTTATATTAACACAGAGCGTGAGCGTGAGTTCCATGGTAAGCTACGAGGCTTGTGTTATGGATACCAGATAGTTGATACACTACACATATATAACTTTAAATACATACATATTATAAATATACTGGAGTACAAACATTCGTGTTCATCACACAAAAAATGCCCCCAGCGAAACTCGAACCCACGACTGATGGCACAGCAAGTAGGGTCACTACAAATTGAGCCAAACGTGTCGTCAAAATTTACATGTTATAATTTCGATAAAGTGACTTTTCTAAATAGAAATGATAATAACCGGAACTTCCCAAAAAAATATTTTCATATTTCTTTGTTGGTGCAGATTGCAAAATTTTACTCTGAAAGGCGATGAACAAAACAAGCACAGTACTTAGTACGCCCTCCAATGTTAAAATATAGTTATTCCTTAAGCAAGATTCTTCCTGTCTAAAAGAAAATGCTATAGATTTTATGTTGATATATCCGCTATCGCACTTTAACTTTTATAAAATCTTCGTAGCTTTTCTGGTAAATTTTTTGGTATTTACTTTTCACGTTAACAAAAATTCAATCAAAACTTATTAAGTATTTTCCGCATAATACTTTCGTAAGGTACAACCTTCAGATCCTATTGGAATATTCCATAATATTTTTTGTTAAAAAATGGAAAGTCTATAGAATAATATCTATTGTTCCTCCCGTCGCTTCGCTTTTACTCTAACTATATCCTTGTTTTAATAACTTTTATTCAAATAGACTATAATTCCCTTGAATATCTTAAGAGTGCGCTATGACACCGCTAAGATTTCGGATTCGAAGGAGCGGGATGACAAGATAATGTTCTATAGTGAATGGGAAGTACAGAGCGATAGATTTTCAACGTATTTAAACGCCGAAACAGTTTTAAATTCAATTCAATTCATTTAAAGTTTTAAATTGACAAAACAAAAACCTCTACAATAATAGTGAGCTGTTTCCGAGATAAATAGCAATATGTGTACTACATGTATTTTTCAAAAAAAAATATAAACCTAAAAAATATATCACGAATCGTGTTTTCTAATTTGGCAATTCAAGTTAAAAGTCCGAAGTATCATTTCCCTAAATATCAAAGTGGTAACTTTTACAGATTCTGAGATAGAACTATGTGTAGGTACAAAATTGCCATATGCACACTCTTAATGGACCAGGATAAATTGTTGCTTTATCCATCCTTATTAACATATAACACAGGTAACTTTTTAAATTTACAGTTAAATTGCTCTTTGACTGATTTCAAAAAGAAGGTTAATTTGAACGGATTTTAAATTAAAGTCATCTTGTAATCGATATATAGGTACATATCTAATTAAACATACAATTATATATCTATTTATGAAGCAATTACTACGACCCACTTATATACAATATTAGTAAGGATTTATACTAAAAAGATCTAGTAAGAGGCCATTCAAGTCCAACAAGGTCTCTAAGGTAGTCCATACCCTCTAAAACAACCCCACCAGGTGGCAGCACTGCACGCGATAGTGGGGTCTCTCCTTCTAGGCATCGTGGTGTTGGTGGTGGGGCTGGTGCAACTGTCTCCTGGGGCTGAAGCAGCACAACATCGCTATTACCTGATGGGCGCAGGCGCTAGCCTTGTGGGGATTGGTGTGTTGAGTGCTGTTCTTAGGTGAGTGATACCCAATTATTCTATCTTGATCCTCTTAACTTAGTCTCTTGACCTTGATTGCTGTAAATTGTAAAACATTTGTATCGTCAGGAACCAATAATCAAAATAAAAAAATAGAACAATGGAAAAATAGTGTTATTTAATGTCTCTTATAATGTGTTTAGGGTTCCGAAGTAAAATAAACCCACCTCTGTCCGTCCGTCTACTGTATATTTTTACTAAATCTTACTTACTAATTAATAATTTCATAATCATCGCAGTAACAAAATGAAGGCATAAGAAATAGGATGAACCTATAAAAAAGATTATGTCAAATTGATTTCATGGTATAAACATCATATTTACTATGCTATAATGGTGTTCACGAACTAAAAATACTACATATAATAAATGAGTTATTGGCCTACAATAAGATTGATTCATACAATTCGTGTACATAACCCATGCATATATTTTGCTAAATCCGCAATATATTTATTTAATAACTTTTTAAAACCATAGTCACTCTTCTAGCATTACACCATCTGTAAATACACAATACGGTAAATCACATAGTTAATCACGACGTGACATCAGATTGTTTTTCAAGGTTCTTCTGAACTCATTCCCCATCATTATTCTTCTTCCCTCATATATAGTCATGGAGAGCTGTACCCCATTAGCTGAGTGTCTCTATAACAATTATTTCCACTTTCGCATACTCTATGGATCCAAGCAATATCTGTTACTTAACCAAATTAAACAGATAAGCCTTGTTAGCGTAATGGGGTCATTATGACGTTATTCGAACCTACTCTATTTATAGTCTTAGACTCTCTATTCAATTCCTTGTTACTGGCTGTACGTTTGTAAGCTTGTGTATTCAGCCCTTTTTTTTAACGTCCCACTGCTGAGGGTGGGCCTCTCTTCAATACGTGGGGTATCAGGCCATAGTCCACCACGCTGACCAAGTGTGGGTTAACAGTTTCCTCGCGATATTTTTCTTAGTCTTAGTAACATAAGTGGTAATCATGATGGAAAGTGATTGGCCAATACCAGTGGTACAAAACCTGGGATATGAACAAGCTTCACTTGGTTTCTAACGCGAGTGCGTTACCACTGAGCTACCACTGCGTAGTAGACTTATATGTATTTAATTAGTGAGTATAGATTGATTTTTTTATCATTTATTATACTCTAAACGCTTATAAAAATAATAATAAACCGATAGGTACTTGTGAAGAAAAATGTTATAAATCAGAAAATAAACTTCTATTTTTATAGTAGTTATTTCAATGATGAGTTACAATGTCGTTCTTTGCACGTGTCGAATCCATAGACTGCATTACATATCGATTTTCATTTTGCATCTATACTAGGTTGATTTTTATTGTAAGGCGCAGTCATAGTTTACCGTGCTGTTGTATAAAGTAAGTTATATGAAATAAATCGTCAACAGTTTCTCTATTGTTAATATAAGTCTATACTAATATTATAAAGAGGCAGAGTTTGTTTGTTTGAATGCGCTCATCTCAGGAACTACTAATGCGATTTGAAAAATTATTTTTGCATTAGGTAGCCCGTTTATTGAGGCAGGCTAGAGGCTATATATCATCATGGGAGTATTATAGCAGGGCATAGGGAGCAGTAATATCTATCTATTCCATACTATCCGTTAAAACGTACCTAGGGACGAACCCGAGCGAAGCGAGAATGAGCCGCTAGTAGGTAAAATAATGATAAATCAACAATTAGTTTCACAATACGCAAAAATATATTTTTATGAGAATTTTGTTATCATAAAATAAAATTTAATAGGAAAGCGCACCCTTATTCCCTTCAGCGAGCTTTGAACTACAAAAAGCTTTATTGTAGATATTTTCTCACTATAACATTTGCTGTTACAGCATTCTAAGGAAAACGGTTTTCTTTGGAGTTATTATTTGGAAAATTTATTTTAAATGTACAACGTATATACATTCTAAGTAAAATATATGTATGTATGTGTCTATTTATAGTATACTAACTAAAATTGTAAATGCGAAAATGTGTTTCTTGGTAACTGCATCTCTAAGCAGCAATGAAAAAGCGTAATTATTATTAAATAAAACTATCTTTTCGGATTATTTCGCGGATTTATTTTGATTTTTGGTTATTTTGATTTTTGGTTGTTACAGACAGCCTACCCACAATTTGTGGGTAGGCTGTCTGTAACAACTATATCTTTAAGACATGTAACACCTCAGTCTCTCCCGTGACCATGGATGCTGTAAAGCATTCGAAACGTCGGGAACCAAAAATCAAAATAAATCCGCGAAATAATCCGAAAAGATAGTTTTATTTAATAATGTCAAACATTCGCGTAAATCTAAGAAAGTATTAAGCGTAATTATTTGAAACAGATGAGATGGAATTTAACGGTTATTATGGAATAGATAGATTATTCATTATAATATTTATATTAAAAAATATACATATACTTTAAATGTATATTTTTTTCCAACTTGAAACTTGACGCAATGTTTTAGATGATAGGTCCGCCACTAACGCCATCTATTGAAATTAATCCGAAGTAGTGATTCCCATACATAATAAACAGTTCTAAACTTTTCGATTTTCCAGCTGTTCTTATAGATTTTCCCTATTTTTTTATTTACTAAACTTACCCCCTTTTTTTTTTTTTTTTTTTTATGTCGGGAACTGCATTTACGCATACCACCTGATCCCCCAGGTGGTGATGTGGGGCTCACCGGCTAGAAGAGCCGGTACTACCCACTAAAACCCGACATTCCCCTCCCCTCCGCCTTAATGGGACGCCGCAGGATCGCTTGCGCATAACTACTACGGCGCCCCGGCGGCAGGTCTGCCTAAAAAGGCAGACCACCAAACCAATGGGGCTGCTCCACAGTCAACTCTGCTACGCCAGAGAGGTACCCGGAGCAGCCCCATTAAACCTAACCACCGCCCACCGAAGTGGGCCACCTCCAATCGGCTGCAGAGGACAGGGAGAGCGGCAACGAAACACCGACACTCCTCTTCCCCTGCAGCCCCACCGCGTCCGCCATCGAACGATGGCGGCCCCGTCTAGGCCGCGGAAGGTAGGGAGAACGGCGCACCGAAATACCGGCACTCCTCTCCCGCCGCGGCCTACTCCTCCGCCGGATGCGGGCCTGCGACCACAGTCCCGCAACCGGCACCCATCATCCGGTTGTGGGACCAAGCGGTCCCACCACCGGTGGCCGCAACGTCTTCGGCTCGAGGCCTAGACGAGCGGCCCCATCCAAGCCATTTGGTCCGCGCCGGATTTCTCCGGTACCACCCGCCGCCCTAAGCGGGTGGCATTCCCCTATCCGCCACCTGGGGACGCGCCCGGTAGGAGTTGGCTTCTCCCCCGGATACTAAACTTACCCCTGACACATCCCCAACAAAACAAAAAGACAATTATTGAAATCGGTCCAGCCATTTTTGAGTTTTAACGAGACTAACTAACAGCAATTTATTTTTATATACATAGATTTATTGTGACATTGACATATAAGAAGTGGTTTTCGAAGGATATTAATTATTAATCTTAGTTATAAAAGAGTAGATTTACCATTTCAACTTTTTAAAGTTAAAATTAAAAATGATTAAGTCAACTACATATAAGGAATATTTGTCTTAATAGAGTTTCTTGCGATGAAAATGTATGGTAGTAGGTAATAGGGCTCTTTTGCGAAATACCTAATATGCTATAATACTATTAATAAAACTGGGGTTTTGAATTGTATATTATGTGGATGTTTGTAAAACTAATTAAATGAAGTACAATTTGAATTTACAAACAAATAATTAAAAGCTGATAAGGTAAAATCAAATAGTAGATAATCGATTTTAGCACATCGAGATAAGACATCGATATGATAAAAACAAACAAAATTAACATCACTAATTTTACAATTCCAGGTGCATGTGCCTACACTGGTACAACATGAAGTTCCGCGAAGAATACGACGAGAGGATTCGAGCGAACCAGAAGTGCGTGAGTGTGGTGGAAGGCCACCACCACGACCACCCGCGCAAGGAGGATAAGCCCAAACTGAAGGCTCAAGCCAGTGTTCAAGAGGTGGACCTCATCAAACAACCCTCAGTCGCCAGCGACACATAAACAGACCAGTTAGAAAAGTCTATAACGATGGTATCGCTACAATTTTGTCTAAGAAATTCTGATGATTTTCAAATACTTTTTTATTTGTATAAGGAATTTTTAAGCCTAGTACCTATTAGTGAATATTTTAAGAGTTTTTAAAATTAGCGGAATACAGGTTGAAATCTTCGATTTTAGAAAAAAAAACGATCTCTAGCTATGAAACAGTACTAAGTAGATATTGAATCTATCTGGAAGGTTTCTTAGGAGAATCGATTTCTTTGAAATAAATTTTATTAGCATCGAAAATGAAATGAAATCTGGGAAAAAAACTTAAGAGCCGCCAAGTATATTTATCAGGTCAAATGGTGACTTGCGCTAAAAGAAGGCTTTATTTTAAGAGCACGACCTAAATTCTAACTTCAAATATATCCAAACGAATAGCTGCCTCGTGGATATTATATAATTGCTATTTTCGATTGTATACGTAAATAAATACTTTTTCATAAGCAAGAGATCAAGAATTATTTTTTTTTAATTATTTATTCAGAATCTGCTCAAAAGATTGTACCACAAAGTTGTGGCGATATCCAACATCTGTATACAGTAGCAATTCATTTCGGACACAATTTTGTCTGTTAGGAAAATCTTTTTAGTAACTTTATACAATTAATGTTTGGAAACCCTGTACTTTATTTAGAAAATAAAATGTACTTTTCACAACTGCTCCTTAAGTCCGTAGCAGTTAGTAAAGGATGAGTGATTCTTAGTATTTAATTTCTAGTTTGGAAGTTAAGCTGTCTGTTTATTTGGCTTTGTAGTACTCTCTAGATAGATGGTTCTATTTTGAACTGAAGCATTATTTCGTCATATTTCTCTATATCTTCCATATATCTATCTACCCAATTAAGTGTTCGTCACATATCATTTTAATTAGACCTGTCACTTGGTTTCTTTTAAAGAAATATTAAATTTGTTTGTCATCAGCCTTGCACTTACGTTCAATAACATATTTTTGAAGATTTTACAATTGAGATACCCCTTGATATTTATTTTACTCGTAGATATGACTATATTATAAATAATTGGAATTATAAAATCTATATTGGTAGATCATTATTTTAAGTAGCTATGTGATTGATCAAGAAAATGACCTTACAGTAAAATCCATTCTAAATCCTGACCGTCCGCGAGCGCCGACATACATACATATGTACATAGCTCAAAAACGTATGCAAAACTCAAAACGGAATACCACCGCATGCTTGCAGCCATGTCTGAGGCCGTTTAAAATTTACAAGAGCTTAAAGTATTTTTCTATATATGTATAATTCTTTACGAAACTTTAAATCGAAGATTGTTTCATATACATAATATTGTAACATATCTATGTATAGTGTTAACTTTATTTTGCTTTTAACTTTATTCCCTCCTCAATTGAATTGAATTGCTTTCAATAAATCTTCAAAATAAATATCAATTTACATCATTTAAAATATACAATTTTAATATAAATATCAATTAAGATTATTCTAAGTATATCACCTATCACAAGTTGGTGTATTTACAGATGCAACTATAGTTATTGGTGTCATAGATGTCGTCTTTGGTGTTAAAATTAAACATGATGTAGACCAATGTTAATGTTAAACGATCGTGTAACTTATGTGTGTGTAGAATACTTAATTCATCGCGTTTCTTTACTATCCTGGCTATAGTTTACGCTGTTAATCAAGTTTCAAATTCGATATTTAATCTTAAGAGACTGAGAAGTGTTCTAAAGTAAATTGACAGATTGTTTAAATACTTTTTGATATATTTCCTTTACGAATAGTTTTGAATTTTATCCTTGTATATGTTACTTTGTCACCGCAGTAACTTAAGATCCATACAAAAATCGAAACTTATATTTAATTTCCATGGGTCCAATGTTTGGTCCATTGAAATAAACATTAAAATTTTATATAAAAAAATCATTTTACGATCAGGTCACATGATTGGCGTTTTATAAAAGCTTCTGGAGCTTATAAAGCTTGTCTAAATAAGTTTTAGTTTGACTTTTACAGTATTAAGTTCAATTGATCAAGCAAAAGTATGTTAATTGTATTATTAACCCCTCTCTTGGTTATACGTTGAAATGGGACACTTTTGGTCGCATTATAAGACATTTAACTCACATAAACTGTAAACAGTGAGGATATTTGACGGCTTTACTCAATGTTGAAGGAGAATATTTTGAATCTAAGCTCTATTTTAACTATTGAACTTAATATTTCGTCAAATATCCAATATAACTTAAGTATTCCATGTAATTATGTTCGTATATAGTAAGTATAAGTATTGATGTTACGTAAATCTAGTCATAAAGATATTATTTAGTCGCTTTTATTCGCAAAGCATTCTCTGCCATTTATGAAAAAACGACGTAATTGTACATTTTTATCCAAAAAAGTTATATAATTATCATATTAATCTTTTTTTTTTAAATTAACAGTTAGAATTGACAGTATAACTAAAATTCTATGTTTAAAACAGACTATCTCTCCATATAATATCTACCATCAAAATGTATTGAGGATTGCATTGTAATTTAATTAAATAACTTTATAATCGATTACAATTATTTTTATAACAGAAGCTTTAGTGGAATTAAAAATGTCAACTACAGCGTTTTTATTAGAAGGTAGAGTGACCGTATCTCAAGTGAACACTACTTGCACTACTCGCAAAAAAATATAAAGCCATATCATATAAGGTATTATGATATTAATATTTAAGTCACTATAAGTGCACGGACTTCGTAATATTTTTTGTGTATCTGTTTATTATAGAAAGATACTTTAATGCTATTATAAATGTCCTGATATACGTTGGATTTTATACTTACAACAGCCAAGTATACTACAGTGACTGTAGTTATCTTTCTATAATAACCAGCTTCAGTTTAACTAGAAACTTACTTTAGAAAGTGTTGCCAAATAATTTATTTATTGAAATAATTATTTAAATATAACCTTATCGAATTTAATGGTCGAACATGAGTTCGTAGTATGTTTTTTCATCGCCTTTTATTTATATTACCGTGCCAAAGTGATTTACGGCTATGAAGGAGTCATAGCTGTTTAATATGTTTATATCAAAAGGAATTGTATTCTCTAAAACCGCTGAAAGCTTAGTCGCTCGCTCTTCTAATTAATAGGTATCGAAGGTGTTATCTTAGTTTTTAAGTTATTTTTATACTACTTTCGTATATTTTAGTTATTTCAAAACAAGTTAAAAAGAAGAGCGATTGAGATAACAAATTTTACGTTGTAAAGCTTTCTGTGCCAAAGAGCTTTTTTTTATTTTGAGGCTTTTAATCTTATTTTTTTTTCTCTGTGTCACCTTTAGATTAAGGCCTTGAATCGGTCCAGTTCACCTGGCACCGTACATTCCGCTTTTTGTGTATCGATTCGCCAAACGATTTTAATGGACGCATTATTAAGTGTTAGAATAGAAAATATATTATAAATGTGTAAAATTAATGTTAAATTCTGTATCATTTTCGTTTGTAATCCTTCGGAAATAAGATCGTTGAACTGAATTTCTTCGTTCGTTCTTCGCATCTTATTTCGGACCCTCTCATCCTATACCTAAGCTCTGTTCACTGTGATAATGTAATACTTGTAAGGAGTTTTTAAATACTAAAAAATATATATACGTTCCAAATGGTATGGTCTATTAAGAATGTTCTAGAATTGCAATTTAATTTCAAACAACATCACAGTGAATTTTACCTGTCTCATCCAAAATATTTGATTTAATTGATTTGTTTTTTATTTCAAATGCACCTATTAAGACGCGTTTCGAAGATTTTTAGATTAAATATTGAAATAAATTATTTTATTCTGAGGAACGTTGTCTTAACTTGTGCATTAGATTAACCTTTACAGTTACAATGAAGTTTTTTATATTTGTATATTGAAATATCTTAATTTTAATTATGACTGTGCTGTTTTATATCTCATATATTTTATACCGATGTCTCTAAATAAAATGTGAACGGAAAGGCCTTGTTTCCATTCATTTAAAATATCTCCCTCTAAAATCTATAATTATGTACAATAATAAAGGTGTTTTATTTTTGAAAGCCAGTGTTGCTATAGTAATAAGTAATAAGCTCCACTAAAATGCTAAATATTGAAAAAATATTATTGATTTTTATTAAAATTTATCTTGTTATAATAGTTTATTATTAAATTTACATTGGTGAATATTTACAAATAATTTTTTGTAATATTTAAGTATTTAAACACGTAGAAATATAAGTCCTTCCTAAAACTTCAAATTCCTTTTTAATTTTATTTAGTATTTGCATATTTACAATTTATTTATTGGTTACGAGCATTGCCCGCGGCTCCGCCTGCGTTCAGATGACCAAAAAATAAATTCTTAGGTTTTACATATTAGTATACTCTTACATCGCACTTTTTGTATTTTTTCTCAGACATTTTCCCGCGGTAAAAAACCTATATGTTGACCCGGATAACCAGCTATTACCATACCAAATTCCCTCAAGTGGTTTTTCTGTGATGCGGTAACAGACAGACAGACAAAAATTCTAAAAACTATAGATTCGGCCTCTGTGTCGATAAAAATATTTATTTCAGTAAGATTTTCCAAAAAATATTTAATGTACAGATTCGGCTTGGTTACAATTTTATTATACGTATAGATTAATTTATACAGATAAATTAAATCGAAGTGTCTATTGAATATGAAAAATGCATATTCATATACTTACTATTCATTTATTCAGATACTTATACGAAAAACACAATTTTTAATTTTATTTGTCTGTCTGTCTGTTTGTTCCGGGTAATCTCTGAAACGGCTGGACTGGTTTTGACGGGACTTTCACTGGCAGATACTTTAATTTTAGAAAAAGAATCTCAAAAAATTTAAAATATACCTAGGGACCCACCGTAGCGAAGCAAGGGTGAGTCGCTAGTAATATTAATAAGTTTAATAATAAGAACCTCTGGACATCGCAATTCTTAGAATAAAGCATCTAATAAAATCTAAAATATTCTAAAACGTTTGGTATGATGAGCAGATCCAATATCGAAAGTACACGCTGCAATAGCCCTAAAAGATAAGATTTCATTTTTTATTTCTTTAGTAATGCCATCTATTATCACTTTGCATAACTAACTAGTGATATGTATGTTAGCTATTTTTGTTTATTATAGTTCGCTAGATATTCAATAGATGGCGGTAATTTAAAAACATAATTTATAAAATTTATCGAAACAACTAGACAAATCATTACAAAATCAATTTTATAATAAATTAATTCAAATAATTTACTTTGACATTAATTATTTATTATCTGTATCACGACCGTTAACAAGCAAAGAGTATGCATATTTGAAGTATTTACGATGCATGTTCGTGCATTATCTACAATATCGGTTAAAGCGCGCGATAGTCGCGTCTAAGCACGAGACGGCAACGTCGCGCGGCTACGCGACTAAACTACATACAACATTGATCCCATTCTTATTGTTAGTTGCCGCGCGGGATTTGTCGCGTGATGCCGCGTGTAAATTTAAAAAAAACCGTTATTTTTGTAACAACTGTTCAAATGATACATAATTTTGAGCAAAATTTAGTAAGTAAGTTAAGTTAAAACCAATGGCAGCTAGAAAAGTGCCTGTAAGTGAGAAAACTTTGATAATTTTAATAAACGAAGTGAAGAAACGCCGATGTTTGTGGGATTTGGATGATAAATATTATAACGACAGATACAAGTTGGCGTCGGCATGGGAAGAAATCTCTGCAATACTGAAAATACCAGGTGATTTATTGAGAAACTAGGGTATATTATTAAATTTGTTGTTTTACTTGGTTGGCACAATAGATGGCGGTAGTAGCTATGTTTTAAGTAATTGTATTCAGAGATAATGCTGAAGTTATTATAAACTTTAAAAAATCATAACTATGAAAAATTTTGCTAAAGAAATGAAAAAACAAACGCAAATAAATAAAAAAATATACATAAAGTTAAATTAAGCAGATCAAAAGCGTAAGTTTGATCTGAGATTAATATTGACTGGAACTAAAAAGATTAATGCCGTTTGGATCGGTAGCAGCGTGTCTTTCGTGATAATATGCAATGTCACGAATTCAAATCTTATACTGTACACATACAAATATAAATAACTAATAACTTACTAAATCTTTACCAAAGATTATTCTTTAGTAAAAAAATTTCTTTATTCGTCTCTTCCTTTCTCATTCAGACCTATAGATAAACTATTTAAAAAAAAGACGACAATTTGTTGTTCTGTTGCCACATGATAGAAGGACATAAAAATGAAGTCCACTTTCACTGCTTTTATTACGTTAGGATTTGAAGAAAAAAATATAAATAGAAGTGATCATGCCTACTAAAAAAACATCTCTGGTTATTTATTGTTAATTAGCGACTCTCCCTCGCTTCGCTCGGGTTCGTCCCTAGCTTGCTTCCCAATACAAACTTTCATCCCTGATCGGATGATTTCCGAATAAAAAGTATCTTATGTCCTTCCCAGAGTCTCAACTATCTTCTTATTAAATTTCATCTATATCGGTTCAGTAAATTCAAAGATTACCCCCTATAACGTCACAAACTCACAAACTTTACCTCTTTATAATATTAGTATAGATGTTAATTAAGTCCTTTAATTCTAATCTCTGTGAAGTCACAATATATAAGCGTATTTTAATTTTAACGTCCCACTGCTGAACGCTGGCCTGCCCTTACACACTTAGGTACTAGGTGCTTTTAGATAGGTATGCCTGCATCCTCACATTCTCTTCAATGCAAAGCGAGTGATAATCATATTGAAAATAATTTGCACATGAAAATGTTAGAAGCACGACTCGAGATTCGAACCCGCATTGGTTGCAAGCGAATGCTTTACTAATCATATAGTATATCATAAGTAAATAATAATTTCATTCGAACTGTATTTTGAACCACATTTGATTTAATATACCAACGAACATATTTTTATCAATTTGCAAAGAAACTTACACAAATATAATATCTTAACTGATAATATCTTAACTGAATCGAATTTGTGACTCATATTTGTCTCAAAGTTCTTTACAAAATGCTAATGCACTGTCGCTTAGCTCAGCCGTGGCTTGAGTAATCAAGCTCTAAACTCAACTACACGCGCTGTTTCGTAACTTTTTACAATTAAGCCTTTTTACCGTCCCACTGCTGGGTTTAGTTCTAAGGCCATAGTCCACTGGCGAAATGCGAGTTAGCGGACTTTACTACACGTCTTTCGAAAACTAATGCATACAACTCTCTCTTTTCTTCCACGAACACGTATTAGTAAATAGTAATCATGATAACAATGATTGTATACAAAAATCTGAGATTTGCATGACTTGGATTAGAACCTGCTACCCTTGGTTACCCATGCGAGCGCGTTACCTATAAGCTACCACAATTTTTGTAAACTCTCAACATTCACTAAAAATACCTTTAAAGAAAAGGATTATTAAAGTTTATTTGGAACTTTTAATAGTTGTAAGTTATTTGGACCATGAAGAAATTAAATGTATTTAATATCTCGTTTAAACGTTCTTATATGATAACAAATTACGGGGTTTCATGGTATAGTAATATGTAATAATCTTATAAAACCCGCCTGTGTTAAAGCCTAGGCGTGATGTTCTTCGCTATAGAGTAGCATTAAAATTTTATGTAGGTACCAACTATATTCTACTTATTCCTATCCGCGCTTATTTCTGTTAAGTACATATATCGACGAGGCAGTGGTAGCCCAGTGGTAACGCGTTCGCTTGGGAAACCGAGTGAAGCTGGTTTAAATCCCGGGTCTCGCACCTCTGATATTTTCATGTGCGAATTATTTCTAACATGACCTTACGGTGAAGGAAACATCGTGAGGAAACTAAACAAGTTTTCGAAAGATATGTGAAGTCCGCCAACCCGCACTTGGCCAGCGTGGTGGACTAAGGCCTGATCCCCCTCGCATAGAAGGAAGACCCGTGCCCAGCAGTCGGACGTTAAACAGGGGTTGAATACACACATATATCAACAACCACTACACATGACCTCCGTTTTATATGGAATATGTTAAACTAGTGACTTACCCTGGCTTCGCTCGGGTGCTTAACTACTACCACCGTACGCGGATATTGTTCACAATTTCATAGGTTTTCATTTTTTGCGCGGAACCCTGATTCATTTTCTAAAATAAAAGTAGCCTAAGTTACTCCTTATAACATCAGCTATCTGCCAGCTTTTTAGCTGAAAAAGTGCAAAATCGGTCTAGTCTTTTCGAAGATTAGCCGAAACAGACTGACAAAAAAAATGAGTTTTTCTTATTGGTACCGTATATACTTTCATATGCATTTAGTAAAAAGCTGTAATTTTGACAATACAAACAGACACTTCAATTTTACTTATCTATATAGATAGAAAGCTCAACCTATACCTATCTTTAACTAAGCGGAGTCAATTGAAAATATGCTTATGATTTTCAGTTTCTTACCAGTAAAGTATTACGCTAGTTCCATTGAAATTGGTCTAGTGCTCTTGTTAAAAAACTATTAGTTTCTCATTTATTTATACACTCAAATTTGTTTGGTATAATAATTTAATTAACCACATAGACGGTAGACCCGGTACAATTTTATTTTATGTAGATATATTAGCAGATAGATTTATACAAGTACAATGTTTGACGACACGTTTCGCTCAGTTTGTAGTAACCCTACTTGCTGTGCCAGCGGTCAAGGGTTCGAGTCCCGCTGGGGGCATTCATTTGTGTGATGAGCACGAATGTTTGTACTCCAGTCATGGGTGTTTATATTTATAATATGTATGTATATAAAAGTTATATATGTGTAGCGTATCAACTATCTGGTATCCATAACACAAGCCTCGAAGCTTACCATGGAACTAGATGGTGCCTTGTGTTAATGTCCCAACATATTTATGTTTAGTACATGTATGTAAAGAAATTTTTATTTATCGACATGACCTTTCGAAGGCAAAACTCGACTATTATTAACGAACAAATGTATTCGTAGTTACTTCTGTAACGTGGGAAAATAATTAACTTAATTGCAAATAGAAGTTTATTAGCAACATTCCTTATATGTAGGTATTAGGTAAGTACCATAATGGTTATTGGGTTTGAAAGTTTATTGGCTACTTTATAATCTACATCATTTACGATTCAAACCATTTTCAAAGTGTACAGCGCAAAATTGTGTTTTATTGGGAACAACAGTATTATTTCACTTACTTTAGTAGACAGTGGTAGCTCAGTGGTAACGCGCTCGCTTGGGAAACCGAGTGAAGCGGGTTCAAATCCCGGGTCTCGCACCTCTGATATTTTCACATGTGAATCATGTTCAACATGATTACCACTTGTCTTATCTGTGAAGGAAGATATCCTGAGGAAACCTGCATGTCTGAGAGCAAGTTTTCAAAAGAAGCCTGCCAACCCACACTTGGCCAGCGTGATGGACTATGCCTGATCCCCCTCGCATTGAAGGGAGGCCGGTGCCCAGCAGTAGGACGTTAGAAAAGGCTGTATTACAGATTTGATACATAATATTATTTAACTGTTCAACATTTAGTACAAATTTGAAAATAAGAGTAGGTACAATATGTATTGTTTTTGAATAAAGGGGTTTAAATTCTATTTTATATCTAGTCAAATTATAATCTAGTGATATAAATAATATTTATTATGTTCCATGATATACTTACGGACATCCATACGAGCATTCCACTACAAGGCATATTTATTTTCTTACTATATAAACATTCTCTTCGACTTTGTAAAGGTATAAAGGCAGGTGTAACGCCTTTGTATAATTTAATCATAACAGGTAGTGGTTAAAATTTTCAAGAAATATTTTATTTATGTCACGTCGAATTTTTTAACATCAAATTAAAATAGTCAAGTTCGAGTCGGATAATTGATAATTATATATTTGTGTTAGATATAATTTACTAACAGGTACTTACTAAGATTTACTCACGGGAGAGACGGACTACGATTGTTGTATAAAGCATTTGAGCGTCGGACATTAAAAACTTTTTAAACAAAATAATAACCAACTTCGAGACACTAAAAAGTAAATTAAACAAAACCAACTTTCTGATAGCAAAAATTAAAAAATGAAGTAACGAGGGTTTTCTTTTAGTAAAGATACCTAATTAGATATTTTCGAAATCAGTGCACGTCGATGAAAATTAAAACAAAGTAAATTAATTTTATTTCGATATTTTAAATACATAACAAATGTATGTACCTAGTTCTATCTATAATATTTTAAATATAATTTAAGTTCAAACCTTGTCATATTTACCTTATATACATATATATTCATATCTTTTAAAGCATTATTGATATTTTATCACTGTTACTGTATTACGAGATTTCCGAAATTTGGCGACTTGACGATAAACACATTATTTTTTTACTTTCATGATCTAACTTTGAATAGCACATGCGTTTTAAATTGTCTAATTTTTTTTTAACCAAATTGAGAGCCTCCTCCTTTTTTTGAAGTTGGTTATAAAACCAATTTGATTTTGTGCCCATCCATGTGATTTTGTCATCAGCTTATATTTCGGCAATTTAAATTAATTACAGAATCGATTTAAACTGTATAACGATTTAAGTTTCAAACTTACTAAATCTACAATGTCCGTTCATCCATTAGTGGCTATCTACGTGTGTCTTACATTTAAAGAATACTATATATTTTATGCCGTAGGTAGCAGATTTATATTTTCACAGATTATTCGTTACTAGGCGAACCCGCGGCTTCGCTCGCGCTAAAACTATAAAAAAACTATAAAAAGGTAGTTTCATACAAACTTTCATCCCCTATTTTACCCCCTTATACGATGAATTTGGAAAAAAGCTAAAATACGTATTTATTTAATTTTATTGAAGGACATTAATACCAAGTTTCAAGTAATTCTAATCATAAATATTTTTTGGATTGTATAATAACGTGTATTCCTGTGAGAATTAGATAATCTCCCGCTGTAAAAAATAGCCTATGTCACTCTCCAGCTCCAACTATCTCCACACAAAAAATCACGCCAATCCGTCACTCCGTTTCTACGTGAAAGAAGGACAAACAAACAAACACACTTTCACATTTATAATATTAGTATAGATTATAACATAGTCTCCCAAAATAAAAGTAAAAAACATAATTCCCCATACAAAAAACATCTTTACATAGCTACTCTTACCTACATACATATTTTTTCTTTTAATATAAATAATTTCGGCACACTTATCCTAAGAACTTAATATAATATAATAAAAATGAGAATTTGTCTTACGCTAATAGAAACTACATTTTAAGACTTAATGTTTTAAACGCATATATATAACACTAAACGTTGGTCTTTATGGTGCACATCAAGTTTATACTGTCACTAACATTTTATACCCCAATTCAAATAATAAACTTAGAGTAGCTTTTGAATACTTTACTCGATACGTCTTGAACATATTATTTCATGGATGTTATCAAATATTAAAAATATTATTTGGCTATACACGTAGGTATATAATTCTGCCTCGATGGTGTAGTGGCTAGCATGTACGGCTGCACACTCGGAGGTCCTGGGTTCGAGTCCTGGGTCGAGCGAAGTGTAGTTATTGAGTCTTTCTGTATAGTAAGTCTCAGTAACATCCCGGAGTTGGGAAGTTGGCGGTGTTTCACCCCCGTGCCTCGGAGAGCACGTAAAGCCGTCGGTCCTGCGCCTTAACTCTCACTGGTCGTGTCAAGCAGCCGTCCCACCGGAGTATGAGAGTGACAGGAATAGAGAGTGCACGTTGTGTCTGCGCGTACATTTGTGCACTATAATATCTCCTGCGCAGTTGGCTAGTCTCAATGAGATTGGCCGCCGTAGCCGGAATCCGTCAGGAGAACATCATATAATTCTTCGTGTATTGAGGGAGAAAGGAGAAGGAAGGCCCGTGCCAAGCTGTGGGACGTTAAAGAGAACTGAGTTAATATATGTATATAACATTTTATCAATATTCAACCATCAACTAGTGTATGGTCTCAACTCCTTTAACATCGATTAGATTGAGAACGGTGTGATAATGTTAAAAAAATAACTATTGAACCAAACTCTTTATATATAATTTATTGTTAAATATTGTAGATCGTACAACCAAAATCAGCTTTTGCTTAATACCCAAATCGTGACCATTATCGATATGTAAATTGATACAAAAATAAGATACAACATTATGAAAATTGTTATTTTGTTAAGGCCCTTTTACAACATTATTAATATTACTCATTAAGTCAACTATTAAAGAGTTAACTAACCAATAACATAAATACTAATTCATAATTATTCTTGCAGAGGACGTGTTGCGAGCTAAATGGAAAAATCTACGCGATCTCTTCAAGCGAGAAGAGAGAAAATGCTTGAAACATACCGTTGATGATTATACCGGCAAATGGCGGCATTTTAAAACTCTATGGTTCCTAAATAAATCTGAAAGCACAGAAGCTACTTCGGACACTGAAAGCTTTGACACAGATGTTACTGTAGTTAAAGACGAAAATCACAATCAAGATACGTATGAGGTTTTAATCGACAATGGTGTGCAAAAACGACTTACGTCCAATCCTGAAATCGAGCAAGACGAGAAAAAAGTTAAGTTTAACGTCGTCAATGATTATGACACGATGTTTTTGCAATCTCTAACACCCTTCTTCAAAGAGCTTGAGCCGTGGAGAAAGTTAGTGGTACGAAATAAAATACAAGATATAATTTTAAATGAATTGGCCGCCCAAAAAAATTTTGAGTTACCACAGTCATAACACTTTTGGGACATTATTTTTAAAATGTGTAGTAAAATAAATATAACCGACTTTGAAAAAGAAAGTTACGTATTCGGATGTTTTTTTTGGATATACAATCATTGATTTTAAATTGTATAGAATTTTAGATTATTATTATTTTTAGGTTTTCTTTTTTTAATTTTTGTAAACAATAATAATTATTTTTGTAATACATAGTTCTTATTCATTTATTGAGTCAGTCGGTTTATAAATACTTTTTTGTAAATCTAGTTCTATACGAGTATTGAATTAATAATCATCAGTTATTCAATTGGCAGGGTACCTACATTAACATTGTAGATAATTTTTTCTATAGAAAAGTATAGAACATATTCCTTGAACCCGTTAATTGTACAAGTTTTTTAAACTCGTTGACCGTATGTGATGGCAACCATTGATCTGATTGATTACAAAGTAAAAGCTTTAGTTTTTGTCTTATTTGTACCGAAGAATCTCTATCGTATTTTCTGCATTTTACAGGACATTAGCAAAGAAAATTTTGCTCAACTGGAACGCTTAAAAGCGACAAAAAATTGGATTGAATTTTTATTTTAGTAGGTAGTGAATCTCAAAGACATAGGTATTTTATTTTACTACTAGCGGTAGGTATGTTTATAATAGATATAAATAGTTATTAGTCAGCGTTAGCCATATACATTTTATTTTTCATTTATTTAATGTAATTCTTGAGTTATAAATGGAGTAACTAACACGACTTATATATATATATATATATATATATATATATATATATATATATATATATATATATATATTCTCTTTGCTAAAAAATTACATGTACATGAACATACGAAAAAAAAAACCCCTGAATTGGTCGAGCCGTTCTCGAGTTTTGCGCTTAGCAACATTCATTTTTATTTATATATAGATAGATATTATAAAAATGAAACTAAAAAAATATCGAACTTCTATTCGATAAAAAAGTTCAAAATTAAATTATGTTTCATCATCTATACATATAAAAAATTGTAACTAAGCTGAGTCTGTACATTAAATATATTTTGAAAAATCTTATTGAAATAGACATTATTATCGATACAGAGACCGAATCTACAGTTCTTAGAATTTTTGTCTGTCTGTCTGTTACCGCATCACGCAAAAACCACTGGACGGATTTTGATGAAATTCGATATGGTGATAGCTGGTTACCCGGGTCAACATATAGGATACTTTTTACAGCGAGAAAATATCTCATCTCTGAGAAATCGATATTAAACGTTAAAAAGTAAGTAGGGACGAACACGAGCCAAGCGCGGGTGAGTCGCTAGTTTATGATATAAGATGTCAATGACAATATTGTACGACTGTACGTAAGAAGACTGTATGTTGTTGGAGTGGAAATGTGATGTAGTTAAGTAAATATAAAGCTTGTTATGTTAAAACACGTGATTAAAGTGGGTTTTTTTTTACTTTTTTGTGTTTTACTTACCCTTTTCAAATAGATATAGGTACTGTAAATGTCTATGGCAAATCTTAAGAACTCCATCCAGCTTTTTTCATTAGGTACTAGAGATTTACCCTTGCTTCGTTCAAGTGAGTTTTTATTTGCCTAGAAGTAGCCTGTGTGTTATTTCAGGTAAATCTGTGTACCTACTTAATTTCATCCAAATCAGTCCAGCCGTTTTACGACAAACATACACACACATACACACTTTCACATTTGAACTTTGCACAATGATGGTAGTCAAATACGAGAACACTTGTTATACAAGATTTTTAAATTTAATTTCAAATCGTTACAATAAAAATTTGAATTGTTCCATGAATAATGACCGTACCTCAAATCTCAATAGGTACGGTCATTTTATACTTCTACTGATATTAAGCTAGTAAATCTTAGATATTAACTCAGAGACTCGGTAAATGTTGAATAACAGTCATTTATGCCGTAATTCCAACTTTTGCAGTAACATAATATATAAAGAATGGGCGGTAGGTTTATGAAGATAGTAGCCAGACGTGTCTCTAAGTTACAAAACGTGCACCAAATGTTTTTGTCAAGAAAGTCTGTAATGGTGTAGGTTCTAACCCTACATTTATCTAGTTTCAGGTTCGATTACCTTTTGAAACAAATATTAATATTCTCTTAGAAATAAATCTTAATAGTGATCTGGTTTTATGCCCGTATGTTTTAGGCCAGCTCTTATAAACTCTTTTTATTTCAAAAGTTCGTTCAATATCTGCTGGCAAAAGCTATAAAAATAAATAATTTACAATTTCTCACTTCTTCGATCATAGAGAATTCATAGGTTGTATTTATTGTCTGTGGCTTCGATCAACAATACTGTTGATCGAAGCAGGTAGGCATCCTTGGCATTTGGATTTACGTCTTGGATTAGAAATATTTTATTAGACATTTGTACTATTGTACCAGGCACGTTAAAAACGGCAGAATACAATATTTTAATCGTTAATTAGCGACCCGATTTTACTTAGATAACTCCAACTGACTTTTTGTAATAACTAGATATACCTACTTACATAATTAATCATAGCTACATAGATAGCACCGTGATACCCTTTTCCTTCCTTGAAGTAAAGGTGAAAATATAATATTAAAATCTAGATATTTAGAATAGATATGATTTGAGATAGAAGAATATTTTTTTTAATACGCGCATACACAGTCGTTCTTTTATAATATTATATAAGGATAGGTAACATACGTACATTGTGTGGTGGTATGGAACTGACAAGATTGAGTTGATAAATGTCTGACACTTTTATTTTTTAACTGTCGACTTTACTTTATATAGCAAATATAAACACTGACGAATTTCAATTAATTAAAATATATTAACTTAAAAATAATATGTACATAGTAATAATCTATTGTATAAAAATATACCTATCTTTATACGTCTGTCTGTTGTGTAGTATTTTGTATAATATTCTTCCAAAAGCGGTAAAACTTTGATGATGATATACCAAATATTGTGTTTATAACAGCGAATTTAAAAAAAAATTTTTGGCCACGGAACCCTAATTGATCGTAATTTATTTAACGGATCGCCATTATGATAATACCTAACTAAACTGATTCTACTGTAGTTAGAATACTTCCTTGTTTGACTTGAAAGATCAAATCAGAAATGAAATTATTAATTTTTAGTATAATAATATTTATTATTTATAGTATCAAAAATATAACCTATTTAATGTGATAAATCATTTTTTTTCACATATTTATAATAGCATAAAATAAGGCTTTATCTCTGACAACGTTTTATTTAACTCTTGGACGGAATTCGGAATCTCTATGACCCTTCCACGGAACCCTTGGTTTCCGCGGACCACCATTTGGGAACCGCTGGTTTATAATATAGTAAGTATCATCAAAGTATGAATATAGTTTGAAAGTTTATTCAATAAGTTATGAAGCTGTAGGTAATGTAACTACCTACATATACATACGTTGTACCTATCTGTTTTACTTTACCACATGAGCGAAGCCAGGGCTTATCACTAGTAGATTAATAGAAAAGAAATCGTTTAATTAGGTACGTTATTTAAAAAAATATTATTATTATAAGCCTGTAGTGTCCCACTGCAGGGCAAAGGCCTCCCTACTCTTTCTCCACTGCTCCCTATCGTCCGCCATAATAAGCCATTCTCTTTGGAAGGAGTCCAACTCATCCCGCCATCTCCGTCTCGGCCTACCACGCTGTCGTCTGCCGTGTTGGGGGATCCAAATAGTTGTTTGTTTGGGCCAAAGGTGATCTGACATCCGGATGACCTGACCAGCCCAGTCCCATTTCAGCATGGCAGCTTTCCGAGTGACATCCGTAATTTGAGTTCTGGAACGTAAATTAAAATATAATCAATAAAATATAAGAAACCTACGTAGTAACGTTACGTTTAATGTTCCGTCGGCGTTTTAACATTTATGCTACAATGTTTTGGATTGTTTAAATAACATAAGGATATTGGTATGCAATAAGAAAAATATAAATGATAAATGAATAAAATTACATATTTTTAAATAAATATTCATTTATAAATATGACATAAAAATTTGACTTAACCACCTAAAATAAACTTAATGTATTTAACATTAAGTTTATTTATTTAAGAACTGACTTTTCAAATCATCGTAAAAATCATAATAATGGAATAACATACAAAAAAAATATATTAATAGACCTTCAGCTTCAAATAGTTGCATGGATATTTAAGAAGTAAATGTGTGTTTCGAAATATTTTGTCTAATAAATATTTCTAATCGTAACGAACTTAAATTTAAGCCTTAATCTAACTTACCTAAAATTATATAAACTTATCTTACCCTTTTACAAAGTTTTAAAATTAACTTGCTTAGTAGACTTTTACTGTAAAAAAAGCCTTGAGCGACTAGATTCGTTTTCAATAGAACTACAAATCAAGTTAAAAAACCTTAGAATCAGATCAGAATATGTAGTTTTTTTTGGTTTTACCAGAATTTTAAGCTCAACGTCAGTTTTTTTCTATTATTTTGGTCTAACATGCATGACGTATTAAGTTACGGTGTCTAAGTGTTACTAGGTAGGTAGGTAGTGGCTAGGTATATACCTATTACCTAGTAGGCACTATCAATTATCTACCTAAGACGATCTTTAAAATTTAGTTGATTGGCATTAGAATGTAATTTAATGTATTTTGTTTTTAGTACATGGGTAGGTACTTAATATAATTAATCTATTTGAAATCAGTTCGTATGACGAGTGCATGTCAAAAAATAAGTTATTAACTACCTTTTTTCCAAATAAATTTTGTTTTATAAATTAACATTAGCTCTTTATTAGTCGAGTAGATATCAAATTAACATAATATTCCTTTTCGAAAAAATCACTACACACTGAACAAAAACTTTTAAAATACAAACATGTAATTTTTAAGCTTTAACACGTATTTATAATATAGAAACAAGAATATTAATATTCTTTTAAACTTTAAAAACAGTTTTTCTCTATTTCACA